CAGGGACCATGAAATTCACAATTTTTGTTCCCCTTTACACAAAGATGCTATATGCCAAAATTGGTTGAAATTGGTTAAGCGGTTCTAGAGAAGAAGATGAAAATGTTCAAAAGTTAACGCACGACGGACGACGCACGACGACGGACAAAAACGGAAAGCAATAAGTCACCTAAGTGACTCAGGTGACCTAAAAAAGGAATAATAATGCAACGTTTTACATGCCATGCCAGACATCTTTTATGCAATATGATAAACAAATTTCTATATCAGACTATTTTTACCAGATACTGGAAGGATAACAAACATACACAGGAAATACTGTAGCTGTATCTGTGCATGTGCACGGTGTATAAATTGATGCCTCGCGGACACGTAAACGTGTAGTATGACCGTAAAATTGCTTGGGAATGTGTATCATATCATGAAATTAAAAATGCTATCAATATTAAAAACTATTTATGTTTAATTGGGGCTGCATTTTTTTGCGTTTCAGTATATTAGAAATTCAGAATTCAGCACAAGTGCATGCACGTCTTGATAGTACCATAATACTGTAACACATTATACCTATCTATTCCAAATTTTATCAGGTGTATTTAAGGAAGTAATAGCCATTTAAAGTTGCAAAAATTAAAATTGCATTACAGGTGCATTCGCGTGTTTCCAAGAATTTTTGTATACATTGCGTTGTAGAACCTTAAAATTTATACCTATATTTTAATTTTCAGAGTATTTTGCCGGAAAGCAAGGAATTTATTGAGATTTTTGTGCCAGGCAACTCGTGCGAAGCACATGTGCATACGCGTGTGTGATAATTTAACCATGTCAAAGTGTTCGGAATACTAATATGCGTTCATATACCGATTTTCAAACAATTTCATAAAAAATATGATAGTTAAAGCTATTTCAAGTATTTCACTCATCGCAAGCGCACTCAGCTGTATGCGAGTTCTCGCAAAATGACCTTTGTTCCATGTACCTACAAAACATGCCGATTAACGCCGAAAGGTTAGAAAAAAGGAGAAAAAACAACATGTTCCATAACTTCGTTTGGGCAACATAATTATGGACATATCAGCTTAACAAACAATTGGGTAAATAATTCCATCAATTAACTTGGATATCAAATTGCGTTGCAGTACATATACTAGTGGAGGCAAATCTACTGGGTGCATTTTTTACGAATAAATACAGCTTTATGTTCCAAGTTCTATTTTTACCCTTCCTTAACAGGATTTCAACTTTCAAGTACAAAAGACGGAGTTTGTAGAAGCAAGGATCGGTAATTAAATTTCAGGGAAACGCAAGTTCGGGCTCTTAAGGCGGATTTATTTTTACATTAATGTCAAAAAGAGTAAATTGGTCAGAAATGAAGGTTTGAACACGTCTAGACATAAAAGTTCCACATAATCTTTTTCTTTTTGACATCAAGCCATTATTCAGTGAGTTTTAGACTTTCAAGCTGACCATTTTTTTCTGAACAGCTAAATAATAGAAGGCTAAAAATATTTCAAGTACAATCAAATATAGTCTTTTGTCACAAATTAGTAAGAGGTTGTCAATTGAGGTCTAATAATTCTGATATTAATTGGGAAACCAAATTACGTAATATGGAAAGAGAGTTACTAAAACGTTGAAAAAAAAACCATCACATCCATAAAGTGTATCATAAAATGGACACAAGCAAAATAAAATTAACAGCATAATGTTTCATAATACTGCAATGAGACATGCAATTTGTTCAAGGAAGATTCACGAGGAAATTGAAAATTCATTATGTGAAAATAAAATTTCAGCGAGGTTGGCATCAATATTTGTCTGATCGGAGTAAAGAAAACTAATTTCACTCTTTGTTCATTGCTACTAGTATTTCGGAAGATCTTTAAAGGGACACAGATTTGAAGCTTATATTTTCTTAAATTTTCAAAAAAATATCATTGACTATTATGTTGCAAGAGCATTTTACTCCAAAATATATTAAAAGCATGTTAAGAAAATTCATTAACATGTATCTGGAAAATATTAAAACAAAGATTTTCGGGAGGCGTTTGATTGACACATATCCTTGCACTTTCACAAAGTAAACTTGATGCATAATACTTTAGAAAACTAGAAATTTTGTTGTGCATTAATGAAAAATATGAAAACTTTAATCCAGAAAGTTCAAAGTAGAAATGCAAGAAGGCCAACACACTCACCAGTATTGTCAGTCCGTGCTCAGTGCAGACTAAATAAATCAAACTCACCCGGTAAAACGTACATAAAGTAACAGAGCTCGTGGCCTGTTTACAAATGCAGGTGTTTGAAGTGGTCGTTGTCATTGAATTCTTAGAATATTCATTTAAGTTCAAATCATTTAACTGAAGTTGTTTTGCAATGCAACTGTGTCCAGGCTCCTTTAAAGAGGTACCTGCCTTATCAACATCGAGTTCAATTGTTATTACAATTCATAATATTTTTGTATTTGTCGGAGAGACCTGTATAATTTACTATCAAGATAGATTTAACAATACACAAATAATTATTTATCTATGATGAACAAACAGCAGCTGAAGTGGTGTTGAAAAGAACATTTCTATTGATCACGGAATATTTGATCCACAACTAAAGGAAGATGACATTTATCTTCCGTTATGCAGTCCGTAAACTAGGGGGCACCCTCAGCTCAGTCTTTACAGAATTGCTAACGCCGATAATGCGAAGAATACTGTGATAAATTGGATCAGTCATACTTATCCTTACACCAATTATACAAGGTCGATTACTGTTATAGGCTTATAACTAGGCTTCGGGTTGTCTTAAAATGAACTGCTCTCTCTCTCTCTCTCTCTCTCTCTCTCTCTCTCTCTCTCTTGGGCAAATCTTTAGATTTATAATTTACGTTAGCTTAAATTTTGAGATAAAAAATAAAATGTTTTGTAGCCATTCTAGGTTATTTACATTAAGATTGTACATGTTCTGCAAACAAACACGGTAGCAATTAAAACGGATATTGGATTTTGAATTCTGAAATAGTCAGTACAATTCGTGGAAAACTTTTATCAACCCTTTCTCATTAATCGCTGGTTGCATCGATCGCTTAAACATTAGACAATCCATACTCCATGGAAAAATATCTCGATATTTTCAAATTGAATTTCAAATAGTTTACTTTTCCGGAACTTTGATGTTTTGTTCTAATTCTAACGTGTGTATGCATCATATCTAAGTATTTTAATTGCACAACAATTTTACAATGCCATTGAATACATATACGTTATAATATGTTTTTAATCAAATAAACTGGTTTCAGTTTCAGATTGTTTATAATCAGACACAGTTATATAACGTATTTTGAGATAGATATTAGGAAGGATTATATTAATTAATCTGTAGTAATAATTTAAAAGAAAACGAACTCATTACTCTTCATCATACACACAATGCTGCCTTATCTTATAGAACAGGAGAAAATTTCAGATGAGAAAGATCAATGTCTTAATGCATCCTTAACTCAGAATTAATGCAGAGGAAGAATGAAACAAATAATTTCATTTTTGAGGAGAATGAAAAACTTCTTATACAGCAAATAAGAGAAAGTTTAATTTAGATAACCATCTAAGAATTCATTTCTGCTTCACAATTATCAAATAATAATTTTCAACATTGCAAATATTTTACAGTATTTTTGGCATTAAAACATAATCTAAAATTCAAAGAAGTTATGATCGAAACAACAGTTTTGTACCACTATGGTTGAATGAAAGTATAAAATCTTGCTATCGATATTAATAATTAATTTATTTATCTATCTATTTATTTGCTTTCTGTGTGCAAGGAATTATTTGAATAAATGAAAAGTTTAAGTAACGAACAGTGATCAAACTCAGAAATCCACTAAGGAATACGCGTGAACAGGAAAAAAAACACGGACCCCTGGAGACCCCATAGGAGGGATCAGGTGCCTAAAAGAAATGAAATGTGACGATAATGAACAGTAATCACGCACAAAAGTTCAACCAAACAATACAAATAATTAGCAAAGCAAACACGGAACTCCAAAAACAGAGGTGGGATCAGGTGCCATGAAGGAGTGAGTATCCCCTGTCGCCCGATCATACCCGCTGTGTGTCCTTTGTCATGATCGGGTAATCGGAAAAATCCGTAGTCAATTCAGTATTAAAATAATGGTCTATAAATTATATGAAAAATTCAGTCAACATTAGACCTAACAATAGATTGTATTTACAAACAATGTCATTGTATCGACCATAGATTTAGCGAAATCTTGACTTCAAACAAGATTTTTGATATCCTTGTATCATCAACCTTTTTGCCAGTAGCCTGAAAGAAATTGTTTATACAAAGAACATGCTCTTGCATATCGAATCGTCTCCTGTCGACCAGTCACATCCGTTAAGAGCCCTCTGTATTCAATATTTAAGCGGAGCAATTCATAGTCAAAATGTTATAAAAAAAATCTATCACATAAATTGATAGTGATCTCAAATTTTTGAGTTACCTTGCACCTGAATGATTTTTTACGCCTTACTTACTCAGAGTTTCGTTTTTAAAGATTAACGTTGGACAGGATGATTTTAATATGAATTAAAATTACCTGTACTTAATAATTAACTAATCATACTGTCATTAATATAATTCAATGCTATATTAGAAGTTATATTTCTATACTCAAGAAACTGATTGTTCAAATATAATATTATATTTCCATTCTTATTCATGGAATGTTTTAAGCCCTTGTTTGGAGTGTAAAAGTCCCTTTTTGGATATGTGCACTTAGGTGTTTTGAGTGATTTCATTCGTTGTTATTTTTAGTAAACAAGACATGCGAGTCATTTTACTAATTCATGACGCTTTAACCATACTATTATTCACACCAACCCTATACAAGGTAGATAACAGACAAAAGTTTATATTTCTCGTTATGATTTCATAATTGTGGAACATTTCACCGGTCTTTGTAGTCAAAATACTTGTTGTAAATAATTAAATATAAACCATACAATTATTAAAAATTCATTAACTGACTAAAAAAATGAATATTACAATTTATGCTAAAATCCACAAATATTGTCATTATTTACAATTAAGTATATTACTGAATAACAAATATTAACAATCTAAATAATTGAATACAAATGGAATATGTACAGAGATTGTCAATATTGCTCTGAAGCATGATTTATTCCAGCAATTAAACTTGACTCAAAAATTTATAATACATAGTTCATTAACTTTAGAAAAAATCAGTTTAATCACCAATTCAGTTAAATGGTGGCATTAAGATAAAAATATTTCTATTCAGATGAACCTAGCTTTAATGTAAATACAGATTGCTCTCTCTCTCTCTCTCTCTCTCTCTCTCTCTCTCTCTCTCTCTTGTGGTATGCACATGAACAACCAAGAGGTAAGTTGTTTCCTTGCTGAAAACAATTATTTTGTCTTTTTTTTTCTTAAAAAAAAGGTCCTTAAATAAAAACTTGAACATTATAAATTTTACACGGTTAATAATCATCGGCGTCCTTATAATTAGGCTCAGTAGAAATGAAGTAGTCATCGAAAAATCCAGCCAGGTACTCAAATGTAGGTCTATTTGCTGCTTTTTTGTCCCAACACTTAAGCATCATCTCGTACATAGACTCAGGGCAATGGGCGGGACTAGGCATTCGGTATCCACGGTCCACTTGTTCTAAAACTTCTTTGTTCATCATTCCTGTAATAGTGAAATAGCAGATTGTTAGTTTCGACACAGTGATATAATATCTTTTTCAAAGTGTGTTGACTTAAAATATGTGAATTGAACAAAAAATAATAAGGTAGATAACAATGATGATATATTGCACATTCGTGTTTTTTTTTTCACTTCTAGAACCACGCTTTCTAAAAATTGCTTTGGTAGTAATTGGAACCTTTAGCCGTGATTCAGTTCTCAAACTATGGACAACCATGTTGTTGTTTGCATTTTGATTGACATCTTTCCAAATGTACTTTTAAAAGTAGGCTGATGCTCTTAAAATGTATAGCTTTCATTACACATTTTAAAACGAAGCACATTTGATATATTCATCAATACCTTGTCAGCTTACTTATTTTTAAAATAAGTTGATGTTTACGTGCACACTGTCTCCTGCATAAAATCAGTACAATTACTTCCACTTGCAAAATTAAGAGTAAATTCATTACAGAAGTGTGCTTTGTTTAGAACGTGTATATGTATTTCATACAGTACATGGATGTTATTAAAACAATCTTTTATTCATATTTAACTAAGACTGAACAACAGGCTTGGGCAGTTTAAGCCTCTCCCTACACAGTTCAATACATTGTAGGTCGTAATCTTGCCAAAATGCATGCAACAACTAATGACAGCGTTTCTGATCACGAAATGAAGAAAACAATTACTTTATATCTTTAGCTGTACAAACTTGCAAGGAACAAACTAAAATTCTTTTGATAAATATGCATTTTTCCATGCTTTTTAATATGCAGAAACAATTGCTTTCTATATTTGGCTTTACTAGCTAGCAATTTATTTAAGAACACACTGAATTTCTTCTGATAACTATGAATTTTTCCATGCGTTTTTAAATATGTAATCTTATGATCGTTTCATTTTCAGTTCTCTCTCTCTCTCTCTCTCTCTCTCTCTCTCTCTCTCATATTTTCAGTTTTATAAAATATTTACTTCCTGTCGGAAAGTATTGTATGACACTGAAATTTATGAGAATGATACCTGGGTATGGCGTTTGTCCTCGCGTGACGATTTCTACCAGAAGGATACCATAAGACCATACGTCAGATTTAATTGTGTATCGACCATATAGAGCGGCCTCTGGAGCCGTCCATTTTATTGGGAATTTAGCACCTGCAAAACAAGAAGATTGTTTGTCTTCTTCACTTCAGACAGGATAGCGTTCATAACTCACATTACAATTTTATGACGTGTTGTTAATCTTGGCATTTCATATGATTAATAATCTAAAGTTAACACTTATATGATACGTTTTTATTCTTTTAAGAAAATATTTTATTGGCATTGACACAAATTTTGTAAAATTTGGTGGTTCTCTGGGCTTTTTTAATTCAAATATTCTTAATGGAAACATGAAACAATGTTTGCATGAAATGGACAATAATCAAGCTAAGAAATCTAATTAAAAAGCAGATGAAAAAAGAACCCCTGGAAACATCAGAGATAGGATAAGGTAAGGATAAGATCACTAATGTGACTGTTCATATTGTCGTTCTGTACATATTGTCGTCGGCGACAGTATGCACATTCTGTCGTCCACCGGTACATATTGTAGCTGGCTGAAAAGTTACACGTACATATTGTCGCTATCGACGTTTTTGTGCCCTACCCTCAATGCACACATAGTCGCCACACAGATATTGTTCCATAAGGACATTTTTTTGTAGTTTTGTGAATGTAATTGGAGCGTTAATCACATTGACGTGTCTCGCAGACTATTTTATTCAGCGCGATTGTGACGGTACGCATGCCGTCTTGTTCATATTGTCGCCGGCGACAATATGCACTGTACTCTTCCCTAATTACTCATATTGTCGTCCATTGGTACATGTCGCATTACAATACCTGACGATGTTTCCATATAAATATGACTAATCATTGCTCTGCTAATCTTGAGAAAAAGATTTTTAAAGAATTTTCCTATATATTTTTCTGTAAAACTTTGATTGCCCATTGTTACCCCACCATAGCATCCAAGGGGTCATGATTTAAACAAATAATCTCCAAACTTTAATCTAGACTACCTGAGGATGCTTCAGGATAAATATGACTTATCAGGAACTTGTTGTTCCCACAAAAAGATTTTAAAGATTTCTTTATATATTCCTATGAAAACTTTGATTGCCCATTGTGACACCACCCTACCCTTGGGGTCATGATTAGAACAAACTTAAATGTACACTATGTCACTATGTTTTGAAGCTTTCACATAAGTATTAACTGTCTGCTCTAGTGGTTTTGAGAGGAAAATTTTGAAAGATTTTTTCCTTACTATCCTGAGGTAAAAATTTGATCGCATCCTACCTTCGGGGGTCATGATTTGAACAAAATTGAATCTACACTTTATAATGAAGCTTTTACGTAAGCTACAACTTTTCTGGCAAAGTGATTCTTGAGAGAAGATTTTGAAATGATGTCAATAAATTTTCATCAATTCTTAATTATCTCTCCTTGAAATAAGGCGCGGCCCTTCATTTGAACAAACTGGAATCCCCTTTGTCCAAGGATGCTTTTTGGCAAGATTGGTCGAAAATGTGAAAAGTTTACAGACGAACGGACAGACAAACGCCAGACAAAGTGTGATCAGAAAAGCTCACTTAAGCTTTCAGTTCAAGTGAACTAAAATGTTCGACCCCAACCTCAATTTTATTGGTACATGCATAACGCAAAAATATCATCCAGATAATCATTACCACTGAAAATAAAATTACCATTGAATCTTTAAGTATATATAACGAGAACAAGAGGCTCATGGACACAAATGCTCACCTGAGTTACTTTGGCACTGCTGTTCTACATCAGGTGTTTTTCCCAATATAATTGTATTCCTGTTTAAAATAATGATTGCCCTTTGAGGCCCCATTACAGAGGCTATGATTTGAACAAAAATAATCATCTTCACTACCAGACGATGTTTCCACATTATTATGATTCATCATGGCATTGCTATTCTTGAGAGGAAGTAATTTAAAGATTTTTCCCAATATCCCTATTGCGACTCCATCCTACCCCTCGGAACCATAATCTGAACAATTTATAATTTACAATCCGTCAGTGAGATGTCACATAAGATTCAGCTTTTCCGGCCCAATGGTTCTTGAGAAGAAGATTTTTAAAGATTTTTCCTTTATATTTCAATGTAAAACTTTGATCCCTTATTGTGGTCCAACCCTACCCCCGGGGGCCATGATCTGTACAATTTATAATCTACACTATCCTAGGAAGCTTCATCTTCAGTGTCAGCTTTTCTGGTCCAAAGGTTCCTGAGTAGATTTTTTAAAATTTTTCTTATATATTTCAATGTAAAACCTTGATTTCTATACTAGTAATGGCCCCACCCTACCTCGGCGGCCATGTTTTGAACAATTTAGAATCTTCGCTACCTCAGAAAGCTTCCTTGTAAGTTTCAGCTTTTCTGGTTCGTTGGTTCTTGAGAAGATTTTTAAACGACCCACCCTTATTTTTACCTTTTCTTAAAAGGAGCATGGTCTTTCATTTCAAGAATTTAGAATTCTTATCCAGGGATGTTTTGTACCAAGTTTAGTGAAAACTGGCTCACTGGTTCTTGAGAAGTTGAAAATTTAAAATGTGAAAAAATTACAGACAGACATCTGGAAAGACGGATGCCGGACACCAAGTGATCAGAAAAGCTCAATTGGCTTTCAGCTCAGGGGAGCTAAAAAAAAAAAGGAAAAGGTTCGTTTTTTAGATAAATCAAAAATTCCGGTATGTTGGCATATCATACTGGTGTACACCAATCCTGGACACAATTTCTCTAACCAAAATCTTTTCTCCCTACAGTATTACGAATAATGCTAAACTAAATGAATAAATGCAACTTGTTTACTTATCTATCTGCCGTCTCTCTCTCTCTCTCTCTCTCTCTCTCTCTCTCTCTCTCTGTATGTGAGAGTGTGTGTGTGTGTGTGTGTGTGCGTTAATCTCTTTCTCTCTTTTCACGACCATAGTAAATGTTTGTCAAATCAATATATCGGCAACAAAATGTGCCAATGTTCATAGTTCATGTAAATATTGTCGTCGGCGACAATATGTACGATGGACGACAATATGTGCAGTGAGGGTAGGTATATATTGTCGTTGACGATTATATGTACAGAACGACAGTATATACCGTCACAAACCCCTTTCGACCGGTTACAACCTTCGTTAGCCCTTTGTCTTGATTGGGTAAACGGAGTAATCCACAGATTATTCAATATCAATTATTAACTAACAATTTGTATTTAAAACGTCATCCAGCATCCGACCTAACGACAGATTGTATTTTTAAACAAGGTCATTGAATTGACCATATACATATGTAATTGCAAAACGTTGACTTCAAACAAAATTGTTTATACCTATCTTATTTCTACTTACATGTATTTGTCAATAGCCCCCTTACTTTAAGAAACAGATCGTACACAGAACATGCTGTTGTGTGTTGAATCAACTGGGAGATATATGCATATGCTGGTGAAAATAGTATATTGCTGCATAAATGAGGGAAGCTGCCGATAGAAATTTTTTTAGTTTGCCCTCTCTCTAGTAAACATCCATATACAAAATAAATGTATCAGACTGCGTGGTGTCTTATATTTCGTCCGTTAAAAATAGATACTTTTATGCAGACATAGCAGATGGCCTTTAAAAAGAATTTTGAAAAATGGGAAGTCGACGATTGAAAAGCTTAAGTCACGTTTATCACAAAGCTTTATTGATAGATTACCATTAACGTCTTTTTCTAGTAAAATATCCAAATATGAAACAGATGTGTCAGACCCTGTGGTGTCTTATATTTCAAGCTCACTGGGATATATTGTGTCGACATTTGAATGGAAATAACTATTGTCAATTGATAATACGTCGTCGATATATCTAAATGTCGAGTTGAAGGCCACAGCAAGAGATTTCTTTTTCTCAAGTATAAGATTTTGAATAAATTCTGGTTCATATGAATACAAAAATAGGTCTGCTAATAACGGGACGCAATTGGTACCCATGAGAATTCCAACCGATTGTTGGAAGACCTTGTCTCCAAATCCACATAGATATTGTCAAATCAGAAACTCAAGCATCTTTTTAATATCAAATTCAGAGTACCTGTGTGTACAATCAGAATGTTTTTTAACAAAATAATTTTGCAAATGACCAATGACAAAGTAGGTAAATTTACGAGTTCCATTTTTATTGAAAAAGCAGCTGTCAATGATGTCAAAAAGCCTGGACTCATATGAACATATATATGGGAGTGAATACTGTAAATTGAAACATTAATGTATCTAAATGTTGAAATGAGATCTACAGCAAGAGACTTTTTTTTTCTTTTCATGCTGAAATACTTATTTTTGTAATAATACAATAAATTGCCATCTATACATGTAATGGGGGCTAGTTAGTATAAGTGAATGTAAATAAATTCTAATTGCTACATTTTTATTAGGAAATATATAGTTGGTACACGTTCCCTCGAAATTTTCCTTCAAAATGGTAGAAAGTAATAATCATCTAAAGCAGAGGTTCTATCAAATCTAAATATTTCACATGAACCTAATTCCACGAGAATTTAAAGTGAAACTTGAGGAAACTGACAATTTTAAAAATTTCCACCAAATTGTTTGAAGAATTCGCTTAGGTTACATGAATGACAGCAGGAAAAGATTATAAATATTACCTTTCTGAGATTTTTTTTATCACGGTGAACACATTTTTTATTAATTTTCAGGTTTATTCCAACTGCAAAGTTTTATTTTATACAGTTATGTTAAATTGTGCAGGATTAAACACAAACCTGACTTAGGCGTGTACTCATCATCCTCAATCAATCTGGCCAAACCAAAATCTGCCACCTTGGCCAAGTTGTTGTCGCCAACTAATACATTCCGTGCTGCCAAATCTCTATGCAGAAAGTGGTTTTCTTCAAGATATGCCATTCCACTGGCGACCTAAATTACAGGTAGAATATGACTTCATCTAATTGTTCTTTGTAATCATCTAGTGGGTTGTGGAACCCAAAATATATGTTTCAGTATTGTGATCTTTGTTAATTTCGGTTTTGAAAATAGTTCCTCCCATTTATCATTCAGTGAATTATTTTCGGTCCCCGTAGAATACTATACCCAAAGGGATACATTTTGCATTTGAATATAAACTCCAATACATCTGCATTTCAGATTTGAAAATAGGTATCCAATATTAGGTTGGTATTTCCTACAGGAGTATGTAGTTGACTTTGGGGAAGGGTGCATAATTGTTGGAATTGGGTAAAATAAATCAAATGGCATTTAAATGACAATATTGTTTTCAGGAATTTATCATCCTTCACAAATATGTTTTCATGAATGTTAACTTACTGCGTGCAGAAAGGTCTATTCTTCAGAAACAGTATGAACAAAAGTATAGTATTTTTCAAGAGAAGAAGACAAATTTAGACCTACAATCTACTCTACATTTTAAGTGCCCTCCTTTATTTACACACACATGTAAAAGTAAAAAAAGTTAAAGTACTAAATTCACTTCCCGGTACACGTCTAAGCACTTTCTTAAACCCACTGTTTATGAGATAACATTAACCTGTTGTAGGAAGTAAATATTACTATATCTGTCTGAAAGCATTTACTTTGAAAGGAATATTGAAGTTGTAAAACAATTCGAAACTATTAAAAAATGAAATACAAAGATCACAGGAAACGGAATTCTCATAAGGAGAATGGGGTCAGGTTTATAAGGGGACTACTCTCATCACATTCCAGTCATCTGGTTGTTTTAAGTAAAATATGTTTCTCAGCAGTTTTCAAATTTAATAAGGTGGATATAAAAAAAGAAGTTAAGGAAAACTGGCATATCAATTTATCTCACAAGAGATTATTTATATGTACTTCTGTGTTGTTTCTCTACCTTTAATAATATCCTGTTTTCTCATTTTATTCTCCATTATGGCTAATTAAGTCTAGCTTCTTATTTAGTGATCCCTTGCTTCAGGTAACAAAATTAGATTCCAATTATCTATTTCAATTTGGAGGAAAAATCAATAAAAAATAATCCCGGAGCCAAAATTTTGGTCCTATAAAGAAAAGAAGGGTGATCGATGTGCCTTTTCAAAGAGCAAAATGTGCCACTAATGGGATTTTTTCAGTGACTAACTTACTTCCGGTTGACTAACATAAGTTTTATTTAATCAAAAGAATAAGGCATGCCAAAATAAGTCAATAAATTAGTTCATGAGACTGAACTACAGATACTTCTTCCTTCACCTTGAATTCTTAAATTTTTTTATTAATATTATTATAGAGAATTAATTATGAATGATACAAAATGAGAAAAAATTCCATTTCAAATGAAACTTTTTGTACCTGTCCTTTTTTTAGGTTAAGTACTGGACCAAAGACCAAAACTTCTGCAATTTGCTTGTGATACGATAAATTATGTATATAACGTCCTGCTATATTCAATATGATGGAATCACTATTCCTTTTGTGAACAATTTAACATTTTCATTCCATTTTTACATACTTGTGCAGCAATGTCCACTAGTTGCGTAAATTTTAGTGATGCTCCTTCATCCCCACGCAAGTAATCAAGTAAACTGCCCTTGGACATCAGCTCAGTAACGATGTAAATTGGTTCCTTATCAGTACACACGGCATAAAGTCGCACTAATTTGTCGTGTTTGCATTTTTTCATGATATTGGCTTCCAAGAGGAAGGCTTCAATAGACATAGTGCCTGGCTTTAGGGTTTTCACTGCCACATCCGTCGTCTTATTCCATTTTCCTGATTAATTCCCAAAGGATAAAATAGAAAATAAATAGAAAGGCACTTTTTCTTCAAAGTTTTTGGTTCTTAGATGTGGTCAACGTTAAATATGCACTTACCTTTCCAAACTTCCCCAAACTGACCAGCTCCTAACCTCTTGGACAGTTGTAGAGATTCGCGGTCAATTTCCCATGCATCTTTGCTCAGATCTATGACTGGTTTTGACTTTGTGCAAGGTTTTTCTAGTTTTTGTCCTAACCCATCAGCAGTTTCTATGGAAACATTATTCAAAAACCTTACATTAACTCCTACTAATAAGTCTATGTAGATTAAACTAATAAAACATTATTTAAGCGCGAGAGAGGGTTGGGTGGAATTGACATGATGTCCAGTGGAAGGGAAGAAAATGATTTTTTTTTAATCATCAGGATAAAGAGAATTAAATATATTTTGGCGGTTTTATATACACTACCCATATAAATAAATTTAGTACTAGAATATAAAGCTTTTATACATAATTATAATAGTTGTTTTATTTAGACATTACTTATATTTTAGCTACTTTGGAGCCGTGTGAGACACCGCCACCTTACATATACCATTCATTGAAGCAATTGTGAATAAATGTTAACAAAGTCCTTAATTCATTGGAGAGTATGTTGTATTGAGATACATAGGGAAGTTGATTTTATAAGATGATAAGGAACAAGAAGTACCAGAATAGTGTTTGATTAACTCCTGGAGATTTGGCAACGTCCTCCGTGGAGTTATAAAGAACCCTTTATTGTCATCTAATGGCTTGATCTTGTAATGTTTCACCACATCGCCCTTGCCTTCCTGAAAACTTCGGACACATAACACAAAATTTCCTGAAAAGGAATACATTAATTTTACATTTGTCAAATGTATTTTCTATAAACAAAAATCATAATTTATCTAAGGAATATACTATTGAATAGCCAAGTGTACAATTCGCATTAATACCACAATCTACATATTAACAGACCTGGTGCAGTTTCGCTCTCTCTAATGAGGTATGACCCTAGCCCGTTTTCGGTACTAAGTAATATTCTTTCCGATTCCTTTCTGGAAATCTTTCCTATATACCATCTAAAATAAAAGTCAAATAATAGATTATCTTCTTTTCCAAAACCTGAGTTTTTCTTTATATTAAATACCGGGTATGTATAATCCTTTAAAAAGTTATTATTAAAAAATACTAGAAAAATTATTTGATGTTTTATCCCAACATCCTTTGCTGCATGGCTTATTTACACATATTACTGGTATAAAAATGAAATATATACAATCAGATTGATTTCGGGTTTGTATAACAAAAGAATAAACCATAAAAATAACTGGGTGAGCTACACTGGTCATAAATAGGACAAATAATAAATTTATCACGACGAAGATGATGTAAGAGTACATAGTGGGATGAAAACCACTTACTCGTAGGTTTCTAATGTGTCTTCTTTGGCAACATAATTAGACGGAACATATCCCTCGTTTCTACCTGACCCACTCTGAGATCTTCGTGCATACCACCAGTCAGGATTACTGAAATGACGCAGAGCAGGCGATAACTATATCATATGATGACAGCAATGAAACTTCACGAGTCACTTAATTGAACGATAATGTTGGAAATTAATTGTTATACTTCGATTTTCGATTTTAAGGGTAAAAGGTTTTTCTCGTTTTAGCAATTTTATGTATAGTTCTTATTTTGTTCAGTTTTAATGACATTGAAGCTTTACATTATTTTCCTTGAAACTTAGTAGTCCTGGCGTTCTAGTGATTTCAAGGACACTGGTACCCAAAGAAAGGGTTCGTGAAAATTTGATTTTCAAAACAATAAGTATAATTTTACTCAACATTATCATGTAATTTTAGCTGCTCTCTATAAGAAACAAATTGCATTTACCCAATGGATATCTTTATTATTACCGAAAGACATTAAAATATTTCTTATTATCGAAAAACGATAATTTTGGACAGAAAAAAGGGATTATGTCAAACACTCTAAAGGTTTTGGAAATTCTTTGCTACTGTGAACAGGTTAGCATGGCAATATGTTTATTATGTGCTTGCGCTGCAGAGAAAAATATAATTGTTTAAAATTTTTGTTTGAAGAAAAAAAAATGATCTGGAACTTACATTTTTCCTAAATAATTTTTTAATAAGCTGATAGAAAGATCAAGTTTTTGTTTGTTTTGGTTTAAATTACAGTTAGGAAGTCTATTACTTAAAGTTTCAACAATATACATGTATGTTACAAACAATTGTACAAAATGCTTATGTTCGTAAAAGTCGGTTTGCGCTTAATCGGAAATAAACAAAAGTAAGAGTTTTTAGCAGAATCTTTCTTTTTCCCAGTTCAAATTTGACAGAATGGGGCGTTGTGATTCCTATTTAAGAATTTACCCCACCCCATTTATTTGTCTGGGTCCAAATATAAAAACAAGTTTTAACAGTTATTAGTTAAACAAATCCTATACCAATGCGCAAATTGCTTTATAATCTACCCAACCAAAGTGTGAATTACAAAAGGGTATTCCTTGTCATAAATAGCATTTTGGTTTTTTGTTTGTTTGTATGTTGTTTAACGTCCCTCTCGAGAATTTTTCACTCATATGGAGACACCACCACTTGCCGGTGGAGAGCTGCAAATTTTGTCCTATACTCGGCACTTACGGCCATTGAGCAGTGAGGGATCTTTTTCGTGCCAGCACCTACTGCGACACGGGATCTCGGTTTATAAGGTCTCATCCGAAGGACCGGTCTCCACGTCCCACAGTGGGATCTGAACCCGCGACGTAAGGATCAACTCCTTACTCCGCGACTCTAGAGCCGACGCTCTAACCACTGCGCCACCCGGGCGACTAGCATTTTGGTTATTTGTTAAAAACGTTGGGCATTTTTGTTTTGGAAATTCCCTCTGTGATTTTGAAGAAAAAAAATGTTTTAACACAGAGGATGAAATTTTCATCAATTGCTAAAGGAAAGAAGTTTGAGTTCTCTTCGAACGTATCCATATAGAAAGGGCACATGCAATTTAATTTACTACTATTAGTATGAAAGCAATGGCCCAATAATTGACATGAAAGATGGAAGTCAAAATGCAACCCGACAATAGTTTATAAATGTATTTGCAAATAGTTGTAAATAGTGTACTCATAACGACTGTAGAATTTTCTAAATACTGATTTAAAGATAACAAGATTTTTTCTCTGTTTTGGCAAGCACTTTTCAAATAAACCTTCTCATTTTTTAATTAATCAACCGTAATTAGAACTAACATCTAAACCGGATCGAAGAAACAAAATTTTCAAATGTCTATATATATGTTTACATTTATAGTGTTCTCAGAAATTACTGAGATTTTTTTTTTTTCAAAATATAATAATAAATATTTTTTATAGTTTGAAGTCGGTTTTTTAATTAATCAAATGACAATACCTGCAACCTTCTTATTTTATATGTACTTTTCATGAATAACTTATGATTTTCTTTGTATACTTCCGTTCATTTACTAATGTTCAAAATGAGTGTCTTTGAAAAAAGAAAGCCTATTGTAGACGTTTATAATTAAAAAAAAATGCAAAACTAGAAATACTTCCGAAACACTGAATATTCCACTGTCTATAATTGCTTCAAAATATATTATAAATAAATATTGGGACAAAATATTGTAAAATGAAAAGGAATTCGGCAGAGGGAAAGAGCTGGTAGGGCTAAGAATGAAACCCCGATTTTCTACATTTAGTGTTATTCTTACTGAGAAAATATCCAAGCCTCCTTTGATCTGTGAATTTTAGTTTACTATGCCTACAAACTATTTTCCTTAACTGAATTCCTCTTCTTTTTTTCATATTTTGTTCCACGAAGCACAAAGTAGACGGTGAAATACTCGGTGTCTCAGAAATAACACCAGATTTAACAATTCCTTACTTTAGGAATGACTCTAATTCTTGGCCAAATTATTCGAGTATAACCTGGTTTGGGTCAGTTTACGCTTTATAATCCGCGAAGCGGATTATAAAACAGCGTAAACTGACCCAAACCAGGTTATACTCGAATAATTTGGCCAAGAATTAGAGTCATTCCTTATAATTTAATTTTAAAATCATTAAATAACTATGGGTGTAAAATTTCGTTGCTTTTTATTAACTAGTTCAAATTTGCCGCTCAATAATACAACCTTAGTAACGGAAGTAACGGAAGTGATGGGAAGCGAGGGGAGGTAAAAACTGATACAGAGGCCTAGCAGCCTTGCTGTTTGTTTACATGTGGTAAGATCGAATTATTGTTTGAAGTTAAAGGTACATTTATCAAATCTGGAATTTTCCATGAATCCCGAGGACTGGAAATGAGAGGATTGTATGGATACAGATGATTCAGCTCGTTGTCAGGGGTGTGTGTCCCCATACCAAACCAGGTTATACAGAAATAATTTGCGTAGCTTTTTGGATATTAACCAATCAGGGGCTAGAATACAAACAAAATTAAATTATTTATACATAACCTAAATAGGCTTTCTATTTTCAAAATCAGTTTTTTTAACATCAGAAGACAACAGGAAGTGTATCAAATAAATGGGAGGCTTCCCAAGAAAAATGCATGTAACATTAGAAAGTACAGGGTATTGTCATAAAATAAAAAAGTAACTTTAAATTATATTGTTTATGTTATTAATCCAACATTTTAGGTAAATATATCAAAAACAATCCTCATTTATTTCTGGGAACACTATTATATTGTGTAGTATTTTTGTTTTTAATATTTCTTTATATCTAGCAGTAGTTTTGTGGAGTTCATGGTTGCAAACATTCATTAAAAGGATTTACATACATGTAAGTTTTGTAAAGACAACAGTATTATACATTTTATTGTAACACTCACACACTCCAAAAATATTGATGGTTAACATTATTTCGAAACAAAAGTCTTAAAAGATAGTTTCATGTTTAAAAAGTATTAATTCTGAATTCTCCCACCTGTAATAATTTTATTTTTTCAAAGTTCCCATATAACTTCGAAAAAAAAAATTAAAGTAAACCTGCAAATTTGGTATTATAACCTAAAATGTATGATATAGGAATAATTATTGAAAGTGAACATCTGACATTTATCATGCACCATGTGCCTGATACCCCAACAAAGTGCCTAAAATTGATGAAAAATTCTTTAAAATGATGATATTCAGGAAATTAATTTTTTGAAACCTTCCAAGAACCTTTTTTACATGCTCTCAGTTATAATCAATTCATACTGTAAAAAACTGCTCAAATTAAAATGACTTCACAATATTTTCTCTCACATAGAAAACGATACAATATTTGGGTTTGAATACCCTTTTTTGGGAGGGGGTGTCAGTCTTACCTATCATCTAATAGGATCAGTATGTCGCCTTTTTTGAAGGGTAAATCTTCCTCGGCTCTAGCGTCATAATCATATAACGCTCTGAGTGTGCCCTTTTCTGCAGCTGTAAAAAAAATTGAAGAACACACATTCAAAGCAAATTAAAAAAACACGTGCTTCAATTTAAGATAATGACAACAGCGGACACGGCTGCATTTAATTAAAAAAAAAACAGATTTCCATAATGTTCCAACAATGGTATTTATATATCTAATACTAATGATACAATTACATTTTGGATAACATTTTCTAAAAAAAAAAAGTAATTTCTAGGCAGGAAAAGAAATAGATACATGTATGTCCGTAAATAAAATATCAATATCCATCAAAATATCCAAATAACTGTTATAATTATGATGTTTACAGTAGTTGAGAGACATTTGATAATTGGTAGTTTTAGTATTACCATTTCATTATTTTGTGTCTTAATCAAGTCCACGAGTTTCTACATCCTCTATTCAACAAGGAGCATTAACTCAGAATACGAATCATAAAAGGAAGTGAAATTCAGAAGTATTCCCAAGGACAACTTAAAAAAACTCACAGACAGGAGAACTCCCCAAAACTACTGTCGCTGAAGCTTTCGAACTCATCACAAGCATTACACATATATCTCATTGGTACATAGTGTAGAAAGAGGGGTGACATCATAGATAGGAAATTAATTTTTTTTAACTACTGAATGTACATTTGTATAAGGAAGGATATAAAAAATGTAATGAATTATGGAACCATGTAAACACATGTTGTTTTTTCATGGTGGTCAAAAATATTCTACTTACAGTCCCTCATTCCTGTTTTAATTAAAGATTTTATAAAATCTGTAATGCGTCTTGATACCTTAAATGATCATTTCTACTTGCAGACTGTCAACGGATTGTTCGAAATGTAATGAAATGGTAGATGTCTTGATGATTACAGGAGAAATACACATTGTTCAATTGAACACTAATAATCATTTCATGAAAATGTTTTTACAAAGCTTTAAATTGGGTGCCATTCTTACAATATCTATTATGCTACTATGATAAGATTTTTATCATTTTATCATTGTAATTTACTTTCGTTTTTTAATGTTATTTAATATCCATGGTTGCAATACTATATATATTTGGTCGATCACAGGTATTTAAGTTGTTCTACTTCCTGGTCACTTGCCAATCTAGGCCATACCGAGCTACATATAGATAAAATGTGAAAACTACAGTCCTTAAAGGGAATGAAAATCATCTTCACTTTATTTTTTTCATTTTCAACCCTCCGGGTTATTAAGCTCTCGGTTATTAATTATGAAAAAAAAAATTGAAATGATCAAGAGACGCATACATGTTTATTTCAATATCATCTCATTAAAGTGGTGGATCCAGATTTATCTAGACATGAAATCAGATGATCAGATGATGACTCAAATGATAGTTCAGCAATGAGTTAAAGGATGAGGCATCAGTGAAATGTACCTTGAGCAGCAGGCTCTGGTTCGGGGGCAGCAGGGTTATCAACACCATTAGGCTTCACCTCCCCATCTCCACTTATAGTCGTGAAGTTATCTGTTGGCTTTGGTTTTGATTGGAAACATCCCATGTCGACACTGTATAAATACAAACTTTTATTGAAGACCAAACTTTAAACAATTGTTCCGCATCGGTACTCTAAAGTAAGTTTTCAAGGTAAATGCTTTGATTAATTATGTGTAAATTTTACTTACTTGAGTTTACAATTGAGAAGTAAATCAGAAGTCACTTTTTCATGAAGGTTAAGTCCGGCACACAATCACTTGTACATTTTACTTCCGTGTTTGAATAAAATCACCCTTTTTTTCTACATAGATGATCGAGGCGTCATTCGATCGACAGGGTTTTAATACTGTTCTTTTGTCGGGGCTATATTATCTTTACATTTTAACTTCCGCAATAGGACTATACTGTATATCACAACATATGAAGTGGTCGACACACTGTTACAAATAAGGGGTCACAATTAAGAGCTAAATTTAAGTGAAATAAATGGTTGCATATACAGTTGTATAAATATTATTACTTTTGTTCCTTGTTTAATAACAATCCCTAAACGTACACAACCAAGATAATTAGTTCTCAAAATTGTAATTTCTGGCAGATTTTAATTACCATAAAATGGATTACGACTAGATTTGACAAAATTGCCTTTAGTGTACTATGGCAAAAAAATTGTCAGTTAACCCGAACCCCAAACCTCCCAATTAAAACATCCAAATTTAGGTACAGGAGTGCTGCTTGAATATTTTTATTTAAAAATACATGCATAAATAAAAATAAACTAAAAATCCTACCAATTCATATGAGTAGATCAATTAAAGTATATGAATGCAAATATGTATGCAAATAATTGTTCTACATTTTCATATACTGTAATATATAAATAGTTCACGTATATTTTCACACTCAATGCTTGTATTTATATATGCGATCTTACAGAATTTCACAATACTTGTAAGACTTAAACATGTTCCAGCTGCCAGTCTGCATACATTACATAAGTGACTATCCCCATCCCAACCTCAGGAGCCCTCAAAAACAGAATGATTATTTTATTTGGATATAATCATATATATCTTAAAAGGGGGGATTGCATGTACCGTCATCAAAATAGTTTCTAAAAATACTTACAATATCAAGAAGCATTAAATTTACTTAACACTTTTTAACGTTTTGATTTATTACGTCAATTTTATGATTTTTTTTTTTCATTCTTGTTTAAGAAGATGGGTGAACATGTCGAGCGAAAAGCCTATAAAGTGACAAACATGAAGGTAAAAAATAAAATCTCAATTATATCAAAATTTTCCTTGATATTTCATCTAACAATAAAATATACTTTATGTAAAATCTCAACAATTGGCAAAAATCTCACGAAGAGTGAAATTCTTTGCTTATGAAATATCCATCTTCGCTAGCCAAGGGTGACGATCCGCTCCTCTCCTCTTTGAAAAGAGGAGAGGAGCGGATCGTCACCCTTGGCTAGCGAAGATGATGAAATATCATACACACACTAAAGAGGGCAAAAAGAGTCATTTTCTTATATTATAACACTATTTTTCGATATGAAAGGGTCTTCGCTCCATTTTTTTTTGAAAGTCAATCCTCAAAGTTTGCATAAATATAAACATTTTTGGTTACCAAAAATATAGAGCAAAGACCCACTATACCTTAAAAATATACTTTTATGACATAACATTCGCATCTTTTCGAGAAATACTTAAGTCCATTAAGTCAAGGGTCATCTTACAAACATGATTTAAATGCCACTGTTCATCAGGACTTGTGTAGTCTAGTGGTTAGCGTGCTAGTCTCGAAATAAAAGATAAAAAAAGCGTGCTAGTCTCGAAAGAAAATGATAGGCAGGATTTTTATTGCTAGGGGTTCGAACCCAACGAATACCTCATTATTTTTTAACAAAAGAATAAATTTTGCTGAGAAATTGTTCCTCAGAAAAGTTTCGTTTATCATAATTTTATAAATTTCAATAATGAGAACTTAACTCTAAATACTAAATTCACAAATTGAACATGATTCTCATATATCTGAAGCTATAGGCTTTCTGCACGCTATGTTCGCCCATCTCCTTTGCCTCATATAAACTCTGAAGGTTTTCGTGATATCAAATTGACTATTTAAATTTGCTATCGCTTTAGCAAATGTCATCTACCAATTATCTATGGGTTATTGTTTATTTACAAGATATCATGATAGCTTGAGGAAAAAAAGAACTGCCAAAGAGTGGCAACTCTATTTTTTGTGAAATAAAGCTCTGATACAACTATAACAGAGTTTAAAATGGACTAAAAAATATCAAATTAGATAAAATATTAAAGACAAAAAGAATCAAAAAGTCCATGGGCTGTAATACTATCCTGAGTCGTAAATAAAGCTGTCCATAAATAAAACCCCTTATTGAAACAATGAACTAAAAGCCCAATGGCATGATTTCAAAAACGCTTACATTGAAGTTTGAGGTTGTTGGCTTGATGTTCTTACAGACGCAAAGAGGATTTCTTTAAAACTTGGAATTATGGATCTTTTGTCTTTAAAAAGCCTTCCTGGGATTGAATGCATATTAATATTCTTGACTTGGGGTGGGGATGGGGGACCGTTCTTCAACCTTTTAAAATACGTTTGTATATTTCTATGTAACATGTTTATGCCATTTTGTTCATGAGAAGATTTTTTCATCGTAAAATCCTATTAAAAATTTTGTCACCATGTTGTTGCCCTACCGTAGCCCTAGGAGGCTATGATTTAAAAGATAAATCTACACCACATGAGGATGTGACTCTCCTGTTCTTGGCAAGAATTTTACATATACGCATGTATTTACTTCCTAAAATGGCCCAAACCTAGACCCAGCGTTAAAACATTGAACAAAGTTGAATCCACTTTTAATGAGGATGTTTGCATCTTTTAAAATACTTTTATTAAGAGAGTACACTCCGCATTTGGATTTCAAAGTGACAGGATTATTATCTTTCAAAAATTGTGTTTAATGTTTATATTAAAAGATAGAATGTCTTTTCGAAGGAGTTTTCTTGCATAGGAACTACAATTTCTTGCAAAAGAATTTCAAACAAGAAATGCAAACAAATTCTTTAAAAATAAAAAAAAAGTATCCCCATGCTTTTGTTTAAGATATAGAAAATAGAAGGTATAGCAATAATATTCATGAAAAAAAATTAAAATGTTATTACTCCGCCGCTGAATTTTTTTAAACATGCTTTATTCATGTTAAGTTTTCTATTTTTATGCGCAAAGAGATTACGATTCATATTTTAGACTTCAACGATTATTTTCTTTTTCTGACCAAAACTTAAACACTATCCTTAAGAATTTATTGCGCTCCTGGTTTTATATCTCTATGAAGCAGAATTTATTCAAAAAACCGTCTACATGAGAAGAAGAAAACACTTGCTGTGGCCTTTAACTCGACATTCGGATACCGGTATTTTGACGACGTTTTACCAATTAACAATAGTTATTTCCATTCATATGTCTACTCAATATATCCCAATGAACTCGATATAAAAGTCACCTCAGAGTCTGTTATATCTCCGTATTTGGATATTATACTGACTATAGTCGATAAAAACCAACTAACAACTAAATTGTATGAGAAAAGAGATGACCTCAGCTTTTCCTTTGTCAACTTTCCTTATCTACGTAATTATATTCCGCTATCACTTGGTGTTTATGGTGTTTATGTCTCCCAACTTATTCGATACCTACGAGCATGCTCCGAGTACGATCAATTTTGTCATTGAAGTACTGCTACTTTAACGACTTTCTACACAAAAAATTGAGGCACTTTAGCAGGCATTTGTGCAAGATACCAGAAGGTGGTGTTTCTTATATAATCTTATTTGAAATTACTTGAATTGTCAATATCACAATTTTTATTTACTTGTTTTCTTAGACATTTTAAAAACAGTTTAGAAATTACAAAATAATGTTAATATTATGAATATTTCTTATATATTACAAGGAAAAACAAAACAGAAATTTGGGGAACGTGTCGTCAGACCTTAACTATAGTGAAAACTTTGGAACTTTGATTAACTATAGTAAAAACTTTTGAACTTTGATTTAATACACAGGCACTTGGGGCATGGACCCATTTTTTTTCTTTTTAAATCTGGGGTCGAGTTACCTTTTTCCTATTTTTGTATTCTAATATGCACTGTATGTTATCAATAATGTAACTCTTTTGTCTCTATAAGCTGTTTTTAAATATATCGTTTTCGACTGATACATAAAAAGAGAGAATGCTTTCAACTCTTTTCTCTCAGAACATTAGATCATACTAATAGTATGTTGATGTTTTAACTCACTTAAGCAAGCTGATCCGTATATTGATGAACATCTTAGTCTAAATATATATTCAGAGGGCTCTAAAATTTAGGCGCCAGTTGGCTCCTATTAAACTAATTTAGTCATCAATGCTTTTTAGTCGCCAGACATATTTTTCTTAGGTGCCAAATTTAAAAGCTGATATTAGTCAATATAGAGAACAATGGGGGTAGTCACCGGCGGTACCCCTTCTACTTTTGAAAGTGGAGGGTCAAAAGTATCTTTGTGTCCCCCCCCCCAAAAAAAAAAACATTTATGTTCTATTTAGTATAAAATATTACAGCTTAAATGTTCTTGAAAAAGTCTGATTCAAAAATCATCAAAAGGCTTTCAAGAAATCTCCATGACATGGCAAAAAGTGTTGTATTTTAGAAATATTTGAATTCTTCCCTCTGAAATTCTTTTGTAAATCTTTGCCCCCCCCCCCCCCCGATGAGTTGCACTGCTTCATCTTAACATTTTTGAACATATATACCTACATGTTGCCCATACTAGCTATTTGCAGACTCAGACTTTCAACAATTTCACAGGGGGATGATTGCACATGATTTTAAAAATGTTTCCTGTTCTGGACGTAAAAGATGTTTGCAATAGTAACATATTCCTATTACGGCCAACTCCATCCTCGTGAAGAATTTTTAAGAAACCTTAATCAAGGTTTATCAGCTAGTGACTCCCTTTTCATATCATTTGTAGAAATGCATTGTATTTATGTAAGACTGAATTCCCATCATTCAACGATACTCAGTAACTTCATGGATCATCATTAGAAATTGAAAAACTATGACAAACAGTGATTTCAACTCATACCCACTACATAGGGATTTGTTCGCTGTTATCTACTTCTGAAGCTGTACAATTTTTATCGAAACATGAGTCACTTTTATTACAACTGATTTAATTTCATTTTAACGTCTGTCATCAAATATACAAGAACAGTATATTTTTTATACACGATATATAAATGAATACACATAATCACAATGTTAAATACATTTATTTTTCCTTCATGACAATACAATAATATGCCTCAAACGAAGAAACGGGTCCGTAAGAAGCAATTTCATTTGGACGGGGGAAGGGGGTACAACCTTACGCTCATCCTGATTGTGAGGTGCATGATAGTAAATTAGTTTTGTGTCCTAGTAAATAATTCATATATGTACTGGCCAAATTGCTGGGGGGGGGGGGGGACGCTCTATCCTTGGATCCTATGGGTTTGATTTTTTCATTTGTTTATGTTTTCTTACAAACAAAAAGCAGGCTGTTCCTTAAGTCTGTAGAAATTTTCGAGAAAACATTTTAATTCTCTCAATTTTCAATTTCATTAGAACATTAGATCATACTAATATCCGTATATTGATGAACATCTTAGTCTAAATATATATTCAGAGGGCTCTAAAATTTAGGCGCCAGTTGGCTCCTATTTAAACAAATTTAGTCATCAATGCTTTTTAGTCGCCAGACATATTTTTCTTAGGTGCCAAATTTAAAAGCTGATATTAGTCAATATAGAGAACCTTGGGGTAGTCATCGGCAGTACCCCTTCCATTTTGAAAATGAAGGGACACGAATATCTTTGTGCCCCCCCCCCCCAATCCCATTGATGTTTTTAATATAAAATATTACAGCTTAAATGTTCTTGAAAAAGTCCGACTCAAATATCTTCAAAAGTCTTTCAAGAAATCTCCACGACATGGCAAAAAAGTGTTGTATTTTAGAAATATTTGAATTCTTCCCTCAGAAATTCTTATGTAAATCTTTGCATCCCTGTTGTGTTACACTGCTTCATCTTAACATTTTTGAAATTTATACCTACATGTTGCCCATACTAGCTATTTGAGGACTCGAACAACGATTTCACAGGGAGGATGATTGCACATCATTTTAAAAATGTTTCCTGTTCTGGAGGCAGACATTTAAAGATGTTTGCAATACTAACATATTCCTATCAGGGCCAACTTCATCCTCTAAAATTCAGGCGCCAGCTGGCTCCTATTTAAACAAATTTAGTCCATCGATGCTTTTTAGTCGCCAGACATATTTTTCTTAGGTGCCAAATTTAGAAGCTGATATTAGTCAATATAGAGAACAATGGGGGTAGTCACCGGCGGTACCCCTTCCACTTTTGAAAGTTGAGGGACAAGAGTATCTTTGTGCCCCCCCCCAAAAAAAATTATGTTCTATTTAATATAAAATATTACAGCTTAAATGTTTTTGAAAAAGTCTGATTCAAAAATCATCAAAAGGCTTTCAAGAAATCTCCATGACATGGCAAAAAGTGTTGTATTTTAGAAATATTTGAATTCTTCCCTCTGAAATTCTTTTGTAAATCTTTGCACCCCTGATGAGTTGCACTGCTTCATATTAACTTTTTTGAACATTTATACATACATGTTGCCCATACTAGCTATTTGCAGACTCAGACTTTTAACGATTTCACAGGGGGGTGATTGCACATGATTTTAAAAATGTTTCCTGTTCTGGATGTAAAAGATGTTTGCAATAGTAACATATTCCTATTACGGCCAACTCCATCCTCACGAAAGATTTTAAAGAAACCTTAATCAAGGTTTATCAGCGACTCCCTTTTCAGTTTTCATATCATTTGTAGAAATACATTGTATTTATGTAAGACTGAATTCCCTTCATTCAACGATACTCGGTATCTTAATGGATCATCATCAGAAGTTGAAAAACTAAAAGACATAGCGAAAACGCTTGACAAACTTTTATCCCCAAAACTCTCACGAATTTTTCGTTTAGTTGATCTAGAAATTAAAATCAATCGCTTCATGTTTCGTTTAGAATTCCACGTTAACAACAGAAGTATCAGTCACACAGTCATTTTATTCTTTAAACGCTTCTGAAGAAATTACATGAGTAAGTTTTCCAGTATATAATGGCCTTCCTCTGAGGCAACGTTTTTAGGTGATTTACCTCCGCTATCTTTCAAAGAACGGTCAGTTCCTCTCTGTAACAAATATTTACTTATTTCAGTGTGGCCCTTTTTAGCTGCTATATGCAAAGGTGTTGTGTTCCTTTTTTTCTCGTATTTTTCATTCACGTTGGCCCCATTTTCAACTAGAATTTCAACCAAATTGACGAAGTCTCTATTGACTGCCTGATAAAGGGGAGTGAGTTTCTTATTGTCTGTCAAGTTCACTTCTGCTTTATGTGCTATTAGAAGTTCTACAATGTCTAAAAATCCTTTTTCCGTTGCCTTATACAATGCCGATCTACCCGTTTTATCTTTCAAATTAATATTTGCTGGTTTTCTGGCCTGCAATACACATTCAACAAAACTTTTATCGCCCGAAAGAACTGCATAATGAAGAAGTGAAGCTCCATTTTTGTCCATGAAATTCACGTCTAATCCATATTTGACCAACTGTTGCATAATATCAGTACATTTTTGCTCACGATTAAACAATGAGTATATCGGAGATCTACGTTGAGAGTCCCAGAGGTCTGGTTTGGCACCTTCTTTAAGTAGTGCCAGGGTTGACTTGTAATAATCTAGGTCATCTTTATTTTCATCCACCCTTGCTTTCAGTGAAAGTGCATGTTCCCGTTCTAATGCATAATAAATAGGTGACTTGCCATCTATATCCTTCTCATTAATATCTAATCCTTTTTGTTTCAACTTTTCTATTATAGGTAATGCTTCATCACCTTTTGATGCCGAAATATGCAACAACGTTCTTTGTTTTTCATCTTTGATTTTGAGATTCGCACCTCCATTTACCAAGAGAAGGCAAATTTCGTATTTTTGAAAGCACAGTGATCTGTATAAGAGCGAGGTTTCTGTTGTATCTGTTGAAAAGAACACCTCTGCCTTTTGATCTATTAGGAACTGAACTATTGAAGGAGTATTTGCATGACAGGCAGCAGCCAAGGGCGTAAATTCTCTGTGTGGATTATACTTTTCTTCAATACTCTTTGAAACGCAAGACCGATTGATATTGTCCTTATTTTTTATATTTGTAAACACAATTTCTACCATATCTCGGTCACGACTAAAACAAGCTAAAACAAGAAGAAGGCTTTGTTCTTCATCTTCTCCAAACATTTTAGAGGTATTCTCGTTGTTTTTGGCAACCCTAGAAATTAAATATCGAAGAAGAAATGTTCGTGCGTTTGCAACGATCCAGCGCAAAGGTCTGATGTCATAAGAATAATCAGATTCTTTCTTGTAGATTTTATTCCATAATAATTCATTTCGATACCACTCTGCAGTACCAGATTCTAGCCGAATAGATTTTGGGAAATCCTGAGAATTTTCTGTACTTTCTTGACAATCTCGCGTATCCAAGAACGTTCTGTAAATATCAGTATATTTTTCAGCATCAAGGAAAGCTGAAAATTCTCGTTGAAAGGATTGGGATTCCCAACAGCTGTGTGTAAAAATACTGAGATGTAACTGTTCGATATCCTTAAGTATTCTTTTTGCAAGCAATGAAATGTTTTTTTCATGACTGTTAGGTTGAAGTACAATACAAGCATTGTGTGATTTTTTTTCATCGTCTATTTTTAAGAATTTCAATATAAAGCCTACACTCATGTACTCTAGTATATGTTCGGGATAAGTATATCCAAAATGTATGGCAAGACTTTCCGACATGAAATCATGAATAAATACAAAATTAGATTCCGAAATTTTAATGTAAGTTCCAATAGCGTTCGCAAGTTTTCTTCCAATGTCTTTCATTGACCATTCACAATCCAAACACTTAACAAGTACCTCCGTTCCTAGTAAGCATGTTTCATTTGTATTATTTTCATTTGTAGGGATTTTCCCTTTATTAAGCATACAGAGGACCAATGCAAAATACATTATAGGATCCTGATGCTTCATATTTTCAAATTCCAACTGAAGACATTCAAACGGTTTTGCAAAGAACTCGAAAATATCCTGATCCTTGCGCTTTGCATAAAGTCTACAAAGAAGCGGAAACAATGTGTCTGGACACGAACGAATGGGGGAATAATCCAATTCACCACAGTGTTTCTTGAATATGTTTTCCTTGCTTTTTTCTGTAAATTTATTTTTTCTACTTTCAATGTCCAACACAAATGATTCGATTTTTGGCATGCTTTCTTTGGTCTCCTCATAAATCATTCTTCTGCATGTCATCAAAAGTTTTTTATTTGTTTGTTTTTTAACAAACAAGATTTCATTGTTGCAGAGGGCAAAGAGAGATGAAAGCTCTCTCTTCCTTAAAAGATGAATGCCAATTGGATCATCAAAAATATACATTTGTAGGTCCTTTGACTGCTCGTTAGCTTTATATATGCTATGGAGTTCTTCAAACGTAGGTACCACAAATATTTCCCAACTCTTTAATTCTTTTCCAGTTTCCTCTCGCTTTTGGTTATGCCATTTCAGGGCAATATGACGAACAAGAGAAGTCTTACCAAGACCGGGTCCTCCAACAACCATGATAATGTTATTCTTTAAGAGTCGTTCCTCCAGTTCTTCAACAGCGCCAATTCCATCGTAAAATAGCACGTCATCCAACTGCCACTCTTTTAGAAAATCTAAAGCAACAATATCAATTATGTTCCTTTTATTATGTCTTTACTAATTTTTTAATATTATAAAAATAATTCAATGTTTGTTTAATCCTAACAGATTATTAATGATACAAGATCAACCTTTGATATTACCCAAAGCCTTTTATTGTCATTTACTCAGAAAAGGTTTTTTTTAATTGAACAATAAAATACATGTAATAATTTTAAGGATATAAGAACTTGTTTGATTACTGACCAGTATCTTACTAGAGACTCTAAAAGAAGCACAAGAATTGCCATATGTAAATTTTGGAATTAGCAAGGTACACTAAATACAAAGGTAACAATCATATACATGTAAGATATTCTTCAGTTTGACAAAACATTGTAGAGGACTTATCAGACAATAAATGAGACTTCCTATAACAACTAAAAAAGGATTTATTTTACCATTTGCATTCAAACGAACAATATCACTTACCGCTTTGAATATGAATTTCTTCTCCTTGTCCACCTACAATTTATTTTTTTTTAAATTAAGCAAAAAGTTCTTGTAATTACTAAAACTAAGCAAGCAAAGTGGTGTCAAATATGGCTCGTGTGTGTGTGAGGGAGGGAAACATACGCATCATGACGAAAACCTAGAGCAAAAATCTTGATGAGTTCTTGTATGAAAACATACTTGTATTAAAAATAGAGATTTAATTTCGGCTATTTAATTGATAATAATAATAATAATAATAATAATAATAATAATAATTTTAAGAAGGTGACTCGGTTTAAAATTGTGTAAACACTTCTCTTCCATGAAGCCCTCTAAATAAATCACACATCACACATTTATACATAATACATAGCAAACATTCTAGAATAGCAATATAAACACACTAAACAAAATAAATAATACCAGCCATACATTTCACATACAGGATTTAGTTATTAAAAATTAGTTGATCGTCCGTCTAGAATTAATTTCATGTTTTGAGTTTAAATTTTCGGAGTGTTAGAGGCATTTTTATATCTTAAGTTAAAAAAACAAAAACAAAAAACAAACAAACAAACAAACAAACAAAAAACAAATGAAAGAATTTTTAATAATTTTTGTTTTTGTGGTTTGGGACACATAAGTCAGAATTAGATTCAGATTTAAAAGTAAATGCCTTAGGAAGTAAAAATGTATAGCACCATGTTTTACGTGTTGTGAAAAAAAAAATAAATGTTAATGATGAAGTAGCAATAGGTTTCTTTAAAATTAAATGTAAAATAAACAGTAAATACATGTACCTATGCTCACTAAGGCTTCGCCTTCTTCTTGAAATTGGTTTTCAACATCACTAAAACCACGAAATGTATTCCACGTTTGAACTGAAAATGTCATCAATGAATTCTTTCATTTCCTTGCTTTATCAAAATCTTCAGTTTTATAATTTACAGCATAAAAAATCTCTTCCTTTCAAATTCAATAATTTGTACTTACGTATCTTTTGTCTTTTGCACCAACAGGTCAAAACAGTGACAACACCGATTAAAACAAAAACCACTGGCAATGCAATCTTGTACGCATCATCTCCACTAGCTGCTGTTGGTTCCATGTTTGGATTTGTAAACTGGTCCTCTGGAGGACATGATGGATCAAATTTATAGCACTGGTATTGTGGATTTATCAGGGAACACGCTGGATCTGGAAATAATCACATGTGTGCACCACGATTTCAACGTTACATTTCTTTTCTCAAGAAACTCTCGTGTTTTTTTTGTTTTTTTTGTTTTTTTTTTTTTTTTGTTTTGTTTTGTTTTGTTTTGTTTTTTTGTTTTGTTTTGTTTTGTTTTTTTTTGGATGCATTTATTATATATGTTAGCTTTCAATCTCTTAAAAACATATTGCCATGAGCAAGAAATACGTAATTTAGCTATATAATATGATCGAATGTATTACAAATTACTTGGGACGAGGTGGTATATACATGTATTTATTTTATGATAGAAATAAACATTTAAAATGTGAACAAAGAACCCGTTGGGTTAATCGGAATCAACTTAGTTACCAGCTGGTCAATGTCACTAGAATTCGATTGCAGGACACAATTTAAGAACGGGAATTATAGTCATCCAGACACATACATAACTCGGGGGAAAAACTTGTATACTATATCACAAATATTACCTGGGGGGGGGGGGGGATAAAGAGAGGAAAATATGCTATGAGCAATCATACTCACAGGGCATTACTGCAAATTATCCGGGGAGAGGTCTGCTTTATAGCAAAATCTGTACCTTGGAATTTCTGAATGGGGGATCTTGCTCTAGAAAACATCGGTATTTAAAAAATTGCATTATTGCAAATTATCCAGGGAGAGTTCTACTGTACAGCAAATCTCTGAAAAGGGGAATCTTGCTACAGGAAACATCGGCACTAAAACACCAACGCATATTTTGTTCTACATTTTTTCCAAATAAAATAAATAAAAACAACTAATTGACTGTCCACATCATGGAATTTACCAATGCTCTACCTTACAGCGACAAGAGTTGGGGGGGGGGGAGGGGGGTTCAGCAAAATACTATACTCAGAAAAAAGTGGGGGGGGGGGCTCCCTTCCCCCGCGTTCTACAGGCCTGTTATTGTAAACCATAGAATGTTTTATCAATCTTTAAAGGCTTTACATAACTTTACTTACACTTGTACATGTTGTCACTGTAGTACTTTTTGTCAGGACAACTGTTATTGGTAAAAACTGTACAGTTTGTGTCCTGGTTTTTGGACATGTATCCATTGTTAAACAAAACAATACAAAAACCTGGAAATATGAAAAAGGATAGAAATATAAAATATTTATTTATTTATTTTAAAAGATATTGAACTGATTACATCGAATACCTAGCGATTTCTGAAAAATATAGTACATCATATCCAAACACTTTAATAATGTTTTCTCCATTCTTTATATTCATAAGTATATATGCACATACTGAATCAAAAATACAGTGTATCACTTAATTCATTAATTAGTGGAAATTATATTCATCAGCATACTGATATCTTACTTTATCATGCAAGCAAATTTTATCACAATTATTAATCCAATAGATACACTATCAGTAGAAGCCTATAAGACTTGTCTTAGTCGTCATAAGTCGGTTCTAAGTTAACTTCTATACTTCCTCATTTTCTTGTCCAGTAATGGATATTTTTATGTGCATCTACTGGGTAGGTTAATATAGTAATAACTGTACCTGGAATCATAGGAAAGCGCACTCGGGGATAACAAAACTCTAATAGCCTTCTCTTGTCCCTGTCTGGCATGCAGTGATACCTATATTTTTGGGTATCGTCTGTTGTACAGTTCAATCTTTCTGAGGCTAGACCCCACTGGCTCGCATTCTCTGGACATTTAAGGACTGGATGTACATCATAATTGTATGATGTTATGATATTTGGAACTTGATTGCTCTAAATATACATTAATATTTACTTAATGTATTTTGGTTAGAAAGAGAGACAGAGAGAGAGATAATCCAATAAAAAGTCTTAGTGGTCGGAATAAAATACTTAATCCTGATGGTCTCATTTGGATTTTTTAATGAACTGTATAACTAAGAAATAATTAAAGTATTATCTAATGCTTGCTTAAAATATTAAATAGTAATATATCAATTAAACATCCAAATAATTTACCATCCATGTTGGAATATTCTGAAATATAATCAGGAATGTTAAAGGAAACATTTCAAATAAACGTTTTCCTTTCTCGCTGTTCGTTAAAGATGGTTCCTATTTGTCTCTCCATCTTCAATCTCACTGAAAAATTTGTCATTAAAACCCAATCATTTTGATAAATCACTGAAAATACTAAATCTCTAAAAGAAATTTGTAAGAAAATAAAACACCGATCATAGGCTTGTATTTTCTGCTATATACATGAAAACCACTAAAAATAGTAAAAACACGAGTAATCCGAAGCTTCGATTTAGTAATTTCACTACATGGGTACATATGAAATACTTATTTTCATGAACAAATTCCCATATTACCTAATTCTATAATTTTCAGGGGTTGTTATTGGCATTTATTATGATTCTTAGGTGAGAGATAGGCCGGGGACGAGAATATTTGTTCTGTTGTTATTTTCTCACATAAATTAGTTTTTATATACAAACGTTTGAAAACAACATTGTAAATATTTTAAGGACTCTCTGTATATTACATGCTGAAATGTTCTGATTCCATGGTATTTTCAGGCATTGAGATTGTTCTGTCTTCAGATCTAAAACAAATCAAAGTACTCAGAAGTACAGAGAGCCGGGCTCATTTACAGACCGTTTTACATGAAACATACATTGTAATAATTTTAACAGATGAATAACAACAAGACACTGTAAGAATAGGTAACTTAAAAAATATATTTATGGAATATAGTATAAATAAAAAATGTTAAAAAAAATAATAATAATAAAATTTAGTTTGAATTTAACAGCGTAAACAATTTATCGCATGTGTCGTTTCGGGGTCTTATACCACTTACAGAAGTAAATAAACATTGATGCAGCAAGGCCAAACGAGTCCTCAGCGGGAGAGTTTTGCATCAAGGTGTACTGGTCACGTGCTCCCCGCATATTAGTCTGGTAACATAACCTTTATTTATAGAATGTGACGCAGACAGGGAGACCTGATGAAAACCTTTCGCATATTTTAAACAAATAATTATTAATTGAAGAAGAAGGGAGAAAGTATATTACCATTAATGTTTTTCATTTAGAGAATTTCTTATTTAACTTAAATTTGTTTAATTTAGTGTGTGTATTGCCTCAAAGGTGGTTGGGCAAATGTACTATTTTCTTACTCTTAATTGATTTGGCGGTGAAGAAGCAGCATTTCCGGTTGAACACCGTAACAAAAGCCGGCTATTGCTCTACGAGCAATGAGCCCGGCTAAAAATTGAACTCTACAGCCAGGGGCGTAGCTTGGCGTACACATCATTTTCATGATAAAATTAAAACGGTTGTGATCTACATCTCATTCTCAACTTATATTAAACAGTGACATATGGATGAACTTCAAAGTTTTTCTCCTACTTCGTGAAATATGGAGATAACAAACAGTATTCAAGCTCAAAGTCCATTAAAACAATAGCTAATATGGAAATGAAATTCATTGAAAAAAATCAGTATATATTTACACCTTTATAAGATATAAACTTTCTAAATGTTCAAGATACATTTAAATTATTGTATAGAGCATACTTACGTAAGATTTTCCACTGGTATTTGTGAAAATTAATATGAAAATAACCATTATAAACATTCTGGGTGGTAATTAAATTTTATGCATGTTACACAAAATCCTTTTATATTTGACTATCAAGTTGTTTTTTTAGCTGCCTTTTCTCCAATGGATGCTGTTTAACAGTTTCTCTCTCTCTCTCCGATGACATGTGAGCCAAATAACAAGTAGTCTAGAGTAACTCTGTTACGTACGGAAAATTAAATAACTAAAATAGTACTATCAGTATCATTTTGTACGTGTACGTTTTTGTTTCAGACAAATCGCATACAATTAGTTGTAATATTCATCTGTACATGTACAAATCTCAAGACAAAATACATCTGAAACTACTTAACATTTCTAACCCTAATATCAACCAGCAAAGGTTATCAGTGAAATTAGAAAGGGACTGGAACAAAACACTTGTCTTTTTTATGCCCCCGGATCGAAAGATCCCGGGGTCATATTGTTTTTGTCCTGTCTGTCTGTTGTCAACTTTAACCTAGCCCATAACTATTGCGCTGTCAAGGGTAAGGCTTTAATATTTGACATGAGTTCTTCATGATGACAAGACCTTTTCATTGGTACAGAAATTTTTGATCATGTGACCCCAACTGTGACCTTTGACCTACATTTGAAAAACTGTAACATTGGCCATAACTATTGCACTGTAGTCTACGTCCCACTCAAGAACTGTGTTACCATCGGGGGCATAGTGTTTCACAAACAGTACATCTTGTTAATTTGTTCTACATATTGATAATGATCATTGCGTAGGGCTTATGAATGACTTGAAAACCCATTTGTAAAACGAGAGGATATAAACAATCAGAAATTGAATATATTATGCAAGAAATTATTTCTGTAAATATCTTTCCAATAAAAAAAAACAAGAAGAAAATGATAAAAATCTCTACCAACATTATGGTCAAAGTTTAACCCATCTATATTGGGGTCAAGGAAAGGACTTATCAAATTGTGGATTTACATATGGATGAAGTTTATAATGACTTATTCATCTTCCTCATCAAGACCAGCACAACATCACCAGAGGAAGCATTTTCTGGACGGCCGATGGCAAGAGAAAAAGGGGCAGGTCAAAAACAACATGGCGAAGAACATCAGAAAACAAGCTGAAAGAATGGAAGGCAGTAGAAGCAAAAGCAAAGGATAGGTTTGGGTGGAGAGACTGTGTGGCTGCCTTATGTGCCACCTGGCATGAAGATGCATAAGTAACTAAGTAAGTATTCATCTTCCTCCCCCAATACACACACACATACACGGTTGCATAAGGTAAAAACAGAAAGATAGATGATTTGATCATTAGATCAAAATTAAATCAAATGAAACTCAAAGAGATTAATTGATGTGCGCATAAGGTAAACCCCTGATGAAAACGTACCTATCAAAATTGCACCCTTTTTTCTGAAAATAGTCTCTTGCTTTAGTTTTGATTTATGTAAATTTTCATTTAGATCCTGGTTAGGCTCCCCAACAACCCCCACCCAACTTTTTGTTACTGTAATGTCGAACTCGGGCAATTCTAGAGGTTCAAACGTTTTCCACAGACTTTATTAATACAATACCATATTATTTCACTATATTGTAACAAAGAGTTGGGGAAGGGGGACAAACAGCCTTTCAATGAACATTTTCAACAGTTAAAGGTAGTGGGGAGAGCCCCTCCCCCTGATACTACGTTACTGAAAAATACCCATGTTTTGTTCCAGTCCCTTTTTCATTTCACTGATAACCTTTGCTGGTTGATATTAAGGTTAGGAATGTTAGTTAGTTTCAGATGTATTTTGTCGTAAGAATTGTACATGTACAACTGTATATTACAACTACATACGTTATGTCTGGGGAAAAAATGTACACGTACAAAATGATAATGGTAGTACTATTTTAGTTATTCAATTTCCGTACATAACAGAGTTATTTGACGGCTGATATCCCGATATCCGACATATCGGCTATCGTATTAGCGCTTATTTTTGAGAGAGAGGCAGCCGCCATTATTTTTCTAAGAGAGTAAGACGGCCGATATAAGCCTCAAATAACAAGTTAGAGAAACTCTCTACAGCAACAGAAAGGGGGGGGGGGGGCTAACCAGGATCTAAATGAAACTTTACATATCAAAACCAAAGCAAAAGTCTACCGGTATTCTCAGAATAAGTGGGGACGAGCAATTTTAATAGGTACGTTTTCATCAGGGGTCTACGTACCTTATGCGCGCATCAATTAATCTCTGAGTTTCATTTGTTTTTAATTTTGATCTAAAGATCAAATTAACTATCTTCTTATGTTTACTTTATACAACCATGGCCGGAGGGGGAGCGGGGGTGACGGGTGTGAATAAGTCATTATAAACTTCATCGCTATTAATGCTCTTATGAAAGGCAGATGGGTTGAAAGTATCAAGTCATTCATGAACTTCCAAACAGGCTGAAATAAAATTTTCATTGATTGTGTTGTAAACTTTTTGATAACCATTACTTTATTGTGTATACATAAGGAATGTACTCTGCATCATACACGTTTTTTTTTAAGCAATATCATATTACTGTATATAAAAAGACTTTTCATATTCAGTAATATGATATTTTTAGAACGTGCTAACTTCAGCAATTTTTTATTTTTTATTTTAATGAGTGTATTCAGACACATCTAGAAAAACACATAATACACAAAATACACCTTCCTGAAACCAAGTGCCTATGCTCTGGATACAAAAACACCATCACATTGAAACATATACTTCAATGAATCATAGGTACCTGGGTCTTAATATTACTTAATATGCATGGTGTCTTAAAATACTTACAGCATGTGTTTATATGTAAATAAGGAATCATACATTAATGAAGACCCTGACACCCATGACAGGCCATAGGCACTTGGTTTCAGGAAGGTGTACTTTGTGTATTATGTTTTTCTAGGTGTCTGAATACACTTATTGGAATAAAAATAAAAAAATCGCTGAAATTAGCACGTTTAAAAAATAGCATATACGTAACATGTATATAATTTTTTTTATATATGGCACCTAGAAAAACATATGATACAAAAATACACATTCCTGAAATCAAGTGCCTATGATGCAGGCACCTCTGCATATATAAATCACCATCCAAAGCCAGCTGAAAACGTCCGTGAAATATGTTCTTAGATATATGTAATTCGTGTTAACTTCTGTATTCCATAATAATATGCCTGTCTCTTTACCGTCTTAACACGTTTTAGTACCCTTGTGTTTGTGTAAAATATTTTTTTTGAAGTAAAATACTGTTTACTTACATGTAAAGAACTGAACATGTCAATGGAGTCTACTTTCGATTTGCTAGCCTAGTTTGAATGCCGAGACGTGTTATGTTTATAATTGATAAGATTACTTTTCTGTTTATTTTATATCGAATATCTTATTTTATTCTAAAATAACTGTGCTTTAATAGTGTCAAGAACCTGTGTTGCTACATTGGAATATTGTGATACATTGGAGATTGAAGCGCTGAT